GCCTTCTCCCAACCTCGGTTTTTAGGTTGAGCACAAGAAAAAGAAGCAACTCCTTGAGCGCTAGGAGAGGGACCGCCAAATTGAGGATGAGGAGCGGGGTCGTTTTTCAAGCACGAATAAAACGATCTAATCTAAAGGGGTGTGCAACCTAGAGAGATGGCCGTATCTCTTTGATGAATGTGGTATCGAGGTTCGGTTCATTTGGAAAAGAGGTCAGTCTTAGGGGAGACCATGTGAATGGTTGAATTGAATACACTTTTTCTCATTAATCCAATCTAAGCGGCGAAATCGATTTGTGGTGGAACTAATATATATATATATATATATATATATATATATATATATATATATATATATATATATATATATATATATATATATATATATATATATATATATATATATATATATATATATATATATATATATATATATATATATATATATATGTTTGCTTCGATACAAGAGATCGTCCCCGAAGCAAGCAAGGTATGGTGAGTGCCAGCTACTTTCACTTGTTGGGAGTAGGGGCTGAAAAGAGCTCTTTGTATAGGTTGGGTTTGCTGGGCTTTGATGCTTACCTTATTATTATTAAAAGGGGAAGGTTTTATAAAGGAGCTTTTAAGCCCTTTTGCTGGATTGTTGGTCTGCAGCCCCGCCCTATAGAATGAATCAAATAAGGAGAGGCGACCGAGCCACTCTTATACTACTCCTTACCTCACCCCCTTCTCACTCACTTAAAGGGCGAAGTCGCTGAAGCGAGTCTAAAGGCCAAAGAGTGATCTTTGAACGTTACTACGCATCCTTATTAATTCATAGGTATAGTGTAAGGTAGGTTTGTTTGGGTATAGCAGGACTTGAACTTGCGACCATTAGGTTAAAAGCCCAATGCTCTACCAACTGAGCTATACACCCCAAATATAAAAATATAGTCGTAAATAAAGATTGGTGCAGAAAAGAGGGGGGGGGGGGTTGGGTCTGGCCTTCTCCTCATCATATTAAAGGGGCTCTGTATGAGGCTCGTACTGCGGAGCAAGCGAAGTATAAGGGCGCGCGTTAGCACTCCTGCAATAAAACGGCCTTACTCAAAAAGCGCACCTTTATTAGTAAGTTGTTTACACTCATTGAATATTCTATCTACAAAAGAAGGTCAACGGGGGATACTAAAGTTGCTCTCACTGACACCATCTACGAGAAGGTGAGGTCGTCTTTCGGTTCGCCTTAAAGTCGGAGAAAGGGAGGAGCTGTTATCTATGTAATTACGGTCTTTGTTGGCCGTTGTTCCGGTCGAGCACTCTCTTTTCTTTGCTTTGTTCAATAGAGTCTTACCAAACAAGACTGACTTCTGACCAACCCGCGAAGGGTTGTGAAGTTGGACCAGGTACGAAGAATGAATCTATATTTGTGTATGGTACGGAAGTTGCTGGCCGGCGGCCGCTCAACTGTTCGAGCGCAATACAGTGGTGGTTGGTTCTGATTCGACAAGGGTATAATGCCTGGTCGAAGGTCCAGTACAGTAGGTAGAAGGCGTGTTCGTTTTGGCTCCCGAGCGAGAATGATAAATAGGCGCTGCACCATTCTTGCTGCTATGTACGTGAACCTTGACTTGAGAGATTCATCCAATGGAACCCACACTCAAAGGAGGACCACAAGCTCGGGGCTCGACGAAACATAAAATATCAGCATTAAGAAACTTCTTGGGGTTAGCAGTGAAAGAAAGAGCCCGACATTCATTCATATTCATAGCTTAGTCTACAAAAATAAAAGAGGGACCAGCCTCATCGTGGTAATTATCAGACATCTCTGATCGTTCACCTCTAATGTGACACGTTCCCTCCCAGTTATATGATCAACGGGATCAGTCGGCTAGAGAGCGGGGCTATTCTTCTTCCGGGGAGGCTAAGTCGTCCCCTCTACTGATCGAACCCTCAGTTCGGGGGTCTTCCTCAACATGTTATGAGGCTCCAGTCTTCGGCGGGTCACCATTACTTGACTTAGAAAGGCGAACATCTAGGCAAGGGAAAGCGCAGTGCGCCTGGTGCAAATGGCTTTTATTTTTCATGATATATCAATCAGAATGGGGGGCCCTACCTACGTACATGATTGATAGAAGAACTACTTAGGGGGTCGGTCAACTTGATGCGGCAGAGGCATGAGTGTAGTTCGATCTTGTGGTGTATTAGTTTGTAGTGAGTAGGGCCTCTTTCTCGTTGATCAGTTCGCCTCCGCTCTATTGAAAGGTCTCCATTCCTACGGCGGTTTTGTCAACGAATGCATCTCGGGCCGGATTTACTAACCTAACCCTTAATTAAGGGGGCCTTGCCGTAGTTGGGTGCTCTGCTTTATTGTGATTGACGAAGGCTAGGCTAGTAATACCCCAAATAAATGAAAAGAGATCGGGGTCAATAGTTGGCAAGGAACTTGATCCCCCCAAAACAAAAAAGGGGCAGCTGCGGTCGAACTCTAATTTTGGAAATAAAATAAGTCGGGGCCCTTTTACCTTACCAAGTCTACCGGATATAAATTTTAAGATCGGGTTCAAATAGATACGGGAAAGGCTTTCTCCCTAAGTGGAATTGATGGAATGCCCTGCTTCCGGCTAAGTATACAGAGTTGGCTCTATCGTTCGTTCAACCGTTACCTCTATTCTATTCCGATCTTTATTTTCTCCTTTGCTTCCTTGTCTCTTCTATCCTTCTCTTCCTTCAGCCTGTCTTGGAGCTTTATCCCGTCCTTCCTTTGGCTTGCCCTGAGGATGGATTTACTCTCCAAAGTCGATTTGATCACTGCGAGTTCGGTTCAAGTCTTCATCGATCGGGTGGATCTTTGAGGGGGGATGGAAAGGTGGGTGAGTCATGGCTGTGGACAGAGAGAAAGAAAGCGGTAGTGGAATAGATTTCTAGTAAGTGTCTTCTTTCCTTCTCTTCTAGTAAAGGCGTGCCGTCAGGTCTCTCTTCTTGGGATATCTTGATCACCAGAAAGGATAGAGATCTTAAGTAGACATGCTTTAGGCATCGATCATCTTCCTAACTACATGGTACTCCCCCTTTTGGCCCTAGAAAAGCTAGCTTTATTTTTCCTTCACAAAATGTATAAACCAAATCTTGTTCTAGTTAATAATAAGAGCCCCTTAGCCGATGAAAACAAACAAGAAGAGACATTTAAATTATTATAGCGGGGTTTTTCAATTCAACCGAAACTCCGAAGTCAGATTCCAGGATGCCCCACCTGGGTAAATCCTGGGCACTCACGCAAGTCAACCCTGACTGTCTCTCTCTCCCTACTAGATAAACGAGTGGATTCTCTTTGGCGCAGAAAGTGAGCTTAGTTTCTTCGCCTCAAATCAGAGCTCTTGGCTTGCTTTCCTCTCTAGTACATGAATTTTATCTCCCTATTGTGCTGTAAAGACAGACTCTGTCCCTTAGTGAAAGCGAAAAAAAAGTAAATTCATGTGAGAGTTGCAAGAATCGGAGGCTGCTTAGAATTAGGAGTCTGACCTTTACCTTTCTTTGGTGCATTCGTCTCTAAGCTCTGAGTCTGTTTTTTCTTTACGAATAGGTTTTTTTATCAATGTCATTATCTTCCCCTCCTCGCCTCGGTAAAGTAACTAATACCAGTCTCGATCTCCTCTAGGGCTAAATATAAGTAAATTAGTCCTTCTATCCTGAATTGCTAGTCTTACTCTTTTACCTTCTTCTATGATTTCACTAGTCTCAGGGACATCTCTTTACATCCGGCCATTCCTTCTTACCTTTTTAATGAACTCCTAATGCCGAGATAAGGCATTGGTATGTATTATTTTGTTTTCCCTGCAAGGGTATAAGAAGAAGTAAGGAAAGCACAACTTTGGCTTTCCCGGGATCTCTCCTTGGCTTACTGGACTTCCTGCTTTACTTCTTTACTGAATTACCGGATTGCTAGCACAGGAAAGAGGGAGAGAAGGAGTGTAATAAATTTCAAACCAGATTCCCCGCAACAAAACAAGCTTTAAACCGAATTCCTTCCTTACAGCAGTAGCTGTGCAGTGGGAATAGTTGCCAAATAGACTGAATGAGTCTTAGTGCCGTAGTAGGATTACCTTCGTCACCTTCCCTTTGTCCCTTAACTGCTGACAACAAGCATTCCTGGGGCAAGTAATCTGTAAAAGAATAGAAAAGAGAAGTAGCATCCTCCTGGTGGAAGGTTTGAAGGAAATAAATCATCAGCTGTGGGATGCTTAGACGGTACTAGTGCTTGAGTAAGCGGTGCTCCCTTTCTATTTGCAATTACCGCTGCAGAATAGTCATCCCTAAAAGAAGCTGTTTTCAAATTAAATAGGTTGCTTTTAGAATAGGTTGTTCTCGAATAAGCTCTTTGAAAGATAACTTAATGCGTTTAGTCCCTTGGGGATGGGTCTGCACTCAGGGGCTCTTTTAGCACTTTTGAGGAAGTGAAGACGAATAGTCGACTTTGTTGCCTGCTTGACGGCTTTCATCTCCTGATGTAAGAAAAGGTGTTCTATCGCATTCTTTTAGCTGCAAGGGAACCGTCTGTAGTGGTTGAAGTAGAGCCAAGCAGCGATGGACTAAGCCGAGTCAAATACGCTGGTGCGAACCATGTTGGATGACGGGTGAGGGTGAGAAAGAAGCCCTGCTCTGCTGCCCTGTGTTAAGCAAAGTGAGTTTACTTCGTTTCAGGCCATGTTATTCAGTCTCATGGAACTAAACTCTTAGATGCAGCATGCAGCCGCCTGCATCCATCGGCACATCCGCCCCGCTTAGCCGCATTGTTCATCTTGAAAGGGAGTCGCGAGGTGCTATCATGTCAAGCCCAAGGTTTGTTCTACTGCTGTCAAATTTCTGCCATTTACACGGGGGGGGGGGGGGTCTTCTTGCAACGATCTTCGTTTCTTCAGGAATGGTGTCGGTCAATTGGTGTATAGGCCACCTCGGTCCAGTTTAGAATTTACCTCTATTTTAAATCCCGCTTCCTTGTTAGCTGGGAAAACCCCTCCTCTATGAAGCAGAGAATGATCGATCGAAGACTGAGAAGATAGAATAAATAATATGTTTTAAGCATCGGTTGCGACATCGAATGAGACTTATCCAGGGAGCAAAGGGAAAAGGAAGACCGAGTGGGATCCAGGAAACTAGCGGACTGATCACTAATAAGGCTCTGCTCTGTCCATCTGAGGAGGAATGCTGCTAAGAGCGGATATGCCCCATCTCTCGAGAGAAAATTCCCTATAGTATTCCTCCAACAGGTAATTCGTCGGAAAGACTAGCATCGTCTTTGTCACAAAGATGTGGAACTTCGATATAGAAGCTCTTTCGCCGCTAGTAAGCGGTTTAACCTCTCCTTTGTTCACTTGTATCCCTTACCAAAACAAAACGTTCAGGCACTGCAAAGGCATAAGAAAGCATATAAGATAGGCTCCAACCAAAAAAATAAAAATAAAAGAAGGAAACTAATGCTAATGGATCCGTTTTTCTAGATGACATAGCCCTTGAAAGCCCTATTATGAGCAGGAGAGGATTGGGGGGAAAACTAGAGGGGAGAGCTATTGAGTCACTACCTAAGAATATATCCTTTTAGCTTACAGAGGATAAGGATAAAAAAGATCTTTTTGAAAGCGCTACGATATAACTCTTCGAGGCATAGCGACCTTCTTTAAGCCATATTGACGCCGTGTCAAAGACTCTTTATTCTAGGTTAGCTCTCGAGTAAGAGAGAAAGAAAGCATTCTTCGCTCCATGAAAACAAGTCAGTATATCTTGAGTGAGCAAGAAGAATAAAATCCTCAACATCAACAGGATGTACCTTATCCCTTTGGCCAGTCCAGTCCCTCCTTAGCATCTCAATAATTTGCGCAGTTCAGAAAACATAAAAAGAGTAGGTGTCTTGGTTTGCGCAATTGAAGAATAAAATTAAGGGCTTGTTCTCAGATGCCCATAAATTGCCCATTTGCAAAAGCACTAGGCATAGAAGGGGCTATTATGAAGAGTTGTGCAAGTGAAATTTTCAAATAAAACGATAAATAAGCCAAAAGCGCACTTTAGATATACTATACTCTAGCTTTAGAGTTATAGGCTGCGACGGTGAAGTAGAGGTTTAGGCTTACCCCCTGCTAGACTTTGCCTGTCATCTTACTAGAATAAATCTTCCAAGTTTCAAGGGTGCCTTTGTAGCAAGAAGGAGCATCGACTGTGAGGGAATGGTCTCTTGCAAAGAATATAGGGAGGTATTGCCCATACATAGGTGTTGTGCTCATGCCCATGCCATGGGCAATTCCGCAAAAGTTCAGGGACGGCCGTAGCTACAGGTTATTTATTTTTTTAAGATTACATGCTTCCACAAACAGAAGCCCTGATACGAACTGGGCCGGTCTTTCATATGTTTATAACAGCTAGACAAAAGCATTCCCACTATGGTGGAAGAGATGATTCGGCCAACCAACTAGAGGACAAGGTAAAGCAAAGTCATTGGAAAACCTGACGTGGGCTCGCAATAGGCCCAGCCCAGCCGAAAAGCTTTGGTATAGGAAATAAATAACCTAGCTGTGGAGGGGTCCCCGCGCTAAGACTTTGCACTTGGCTAGTTCACGTGGATCACTCATCTCTCAACGTGCGTGATTCCATGATGATCGAAGGCTTTGGTGAGGAAAATCATTCCATCCTATGCCCTGGGTCTTGGTCTTTATCAAGGCTATTTGAACTAATCCGAATCATAAAAATAAGATGGGGTTTTTAGGCTGTGACAAGGTCCAAAAGAGATAAGTATAGCGGGAAGAAGAGTGAAAAAAGAGAGAGCGTGACTCGTATTATTATATTATAATATATATAATATATATATATATATATATATATATATATATATATATATATATATATATATATATATATATATATAATATATATATATATATATATATATATATTATATATATATATATATATATATATATCTTATATATATATATATTATATATATATATATATATATATATATATATATATATATATATATATATATAAATATATATATATATATATATATATATATATATATATATATATATATATATATATATATATATATATATATATATATATATATCTAAATAGAATAAAGAATTCTCAGTCTTGTTCGCCACAAGGAGGAAGCTAGCCTATGTGGAAGAAAGCATATTCAACACAAAATAGTCGTCTTCTTAGTGCTTATCTCTTTTCAGCAGAACAGAAAGATATCCTATACTAGGCCATAAGAAACTGCGTCTTATGGTCCGGTCCATAGTTAGACCTTCCACAATCCTCTCGTGACGATCCTGGTATACTAGAATGTAGGCCTTTAGCTCCTTATCATTAGCTCTTGCGCTTTCATTTAAGGTCATTATAAAAAGCCATCCCTTGAAAAGACATATGCAAACCCATAGACATAGACAAGCTGGAGAGACAGACATAGGACTACCAAAAGCTCACTACAATCTACAATCGGGGATCCCTAAATGCCTATTGGATTGGATGACAGACAGGGACCATATTCGATTGCCTCGTATAGAACCAACCCCCAAAAAGGTCACTGGAAATGGCTGCCTCACTGCGTGGACTCCTACCATCGAAGCAAACTAGCCTGGCCCAACATGTAAACTTTCTCCGCTTACCCTATGATTGCCGGCCAACAAGCACCACCTGTAGCGAATCCACCGGCGCAACAGCCCCCAGTGTACACAGATGACCGCCATGAGAGTCCAAACTTACCGAACGGGTATTGGGCTCTTCACCGTGTCATTCTGACGTATGTCCATAGCATGGGGACACCTGATGGGGGACCGATGCCGTCCCACAACAAGGTGCGGTGGGTCTTTGAGCTCGTTGCGAAAGATAGATTAAATAGTAAAGAAGGCCTACTTCACATCTTACAAGTTATTGCGAAAAACCCCAATAACAATGCCATTTTACGTGAGGCTGATTTGATCTTTGCCGATATCCGGAACAAGGGAATCCGGGATGCCGACCTTGACGAATATTCATTTTTTGAATCGTGAGGGTGTTGTATTATTTGTTATTTCTTTTCCAGTGATGGTCTTATTTTGGAGCAGGAGCCGCCTCGGGATCCCTAGGATTCGGGATCCTCCGCAGCCCAATACACGTGTATGCTTAAGCAGGCTACTCCCCGAAAATGCCTACGGAAGGTGGGGTAACATTATATTGCCTGTGGGTTCCTCAACCTAGTAGAGTTGGTTCCAAACCTTGAGACTTGAAAGGGGGTTCCCTCGCCCAGAAAGAATAAGCGAAAAGTACTACTATTGGCCTGGCCCCACAGATATGAAGAGGGAGCTTAGCGACCTATCCTGTACCTGTAAACAAGCGAAGCTATCAAGTAAGGCAAGCTATAGCAAGGGAGTAAGTAAAGAATTTTAGTAGTGATAGAAAGGAAGCACGGATAGCGAGTTGTTATTCTAAAGTCTAATTTATATAAACAATATCGGCTTCAAAGGCAGTCCATCCTGCTAGTTCATGATTGATAGCTGTCAGGTAGGCCGCCCGTTGTTTTAAGTTCGATCATTGACAAGGTTCAAAGAAAGGGTAACCCACCTATCATTGTGAAATAAGAGCACTCGATCGAAGACAATGTCAATTGGCCAAGCCATAAGCACGATGAGCAAGCCGCCCTGGTGCCAAGCTAAGTCCCAAGCTAAAGACAAGGATCACAAAGAGCAAAAGCAAAGACCCGAATATCTTGAACTCAAATAAAACCAAGCTTTCATACCAGGAAATCGAAGATGTGCCAAATCGTTCTCTATTGAATCGTAGTCTAGAGCCAAATGAAACTGATTCCACTTGACTTGAGCAAGAATAAGTAAATTTCCCACGGTCAAGCCTAGTAGAGCTCCTAGTCCTACAAGACTAGCAAACATGCTACCACAGAAAGGAAGGGAAAGAGATCGGAAAGCCCGCAACCAAACTAAACGCCATCGCTTTCACTGGGAAAGTCTTCGTCTCTAGCCGCATTAAAGCCCGGATGGAAAACCCCAGGAATGAAATAAGTTACTCTACCTTACGTCGAACAAGAGTTGCCTTCCTTTCTAAAAGGCCTACTATGCTGCCTTTCTTGGCTTGATGCCTTAGCTAGCTCCCTTTCGTACCGGTTCCCCAAGGTCTGATTCTGCCCTTAACCCGTGGAGATAACGAGATTTACTAATGATTTTATCGGTGCGAAGAATAGCCCCACTCCTATATCCTCAAATATTATATTTTAGTTAGCTACTCACTCAGTCCACAGATTTGGATTAGTCAAAATAGAACTAGACAGATCAAGGAGAGAGAAGGCTCATCGATCAGTATTAGCTATGGTTCCTTTTGTTTATTCAGTCAGCCAGGCAGAAGTGGAAAATTAAATAGATAGAGTAGATCCTATTCTAGATGGATTAGATAGAAACCTTACCTTAGCGTGATTCCATGCCTTACTTTCCCGATAGCGGAATCTATAGATGTTCCCATGGAGCGGTAACTAGGTCCAGTGCCCAAAAAAGGAAGCTTATCGAAGGGAGGAGTGGAAGCTGCTCTGCCAATGCCCTGGCCAAGAGACGACTTATATCTACATCCATCCTAATAAAAAGCCAGTGAAAGCTCTCTTCTAGGCCCACAGCAGACTCAATAGCTGCAGTTACGGATTCCATTGCGACAAGATCGTATTCTTACTTTTCTGATTCTAATAATGCATTTATGCTCCAGTCGGGCGATTCATTCTGTCTGTACCTGTCCATTCTGTCGTTAGAATAACATCCCTCTCGGTAAGTGAAGCTCCCTCCACCCGCCGCCCTCTCTATCCGCTAACTTCGATACCCGGGGCATTTCCCTCACATGCTGAAGAAAGAAAGCCCCTCTCTTTTATTTATAACATTTCTAAAGAAATTTACCCAGCCAAAACTACTTCCTTTATTTCTAGTTTTCCCCGTCAAGTTGAAGAAGACTCGCCCCCGAGTCGTTAGTGCTTTCTTCACCATAATAAGGAAAAAGAT